TTCTCTCTCTCTCTCTCTCTCACACACACACAGTCACACAAACACGGCTCAAAGCACAGTCTGACACCGCCAGTCCCCACTGTCGGTCCGTTGTCGCCACCGCCTCTCCAATTAGCGTCGCCCCTCTGTCCGCTCTCTCTAGTCACTGCCGGCCGCCCACTCTCTCTAGTCACCGCTGGCCACCCGTTCCTGAAATTTCAGGCGCACATCAACCGACACACGCTTGTGATTAACCGTGCATTTACAGCATCACTGACCACCATCGCATCGTTGTACGGCACACCATGGCTCCCACCGATGCTGCATCAACAATAGAACACCATTGCAATTCCACCACATCGTCATCGTCGCGCGAATCACAACACCCAATTCCACCAAACCCTCCCCGCTTTCTTCACCATCTCTCATTTTTTGGAATTTCAGAGTTTAAATGTACAAGGCCATAACAGTTGTGATCTATATTTTGAATGTAGGGACTAAATTGGGAACAATATGTCTGGTGTGTGTGAATTCGATCGGGGTCGATATCGTTAGTGAACGTCCGTTGGAGTTGTCCGTCGTGTGTGAATTCACAGCTAGTTCAAATCTTTAATTTAGGAAAAATTTAATAAATGTCCTTCGAAGTATGTCAATTCCCAGATGGTTCAAATCTTTAATTTATGAAAAATTTAATAAATGTACAAATACACAATATTATGTTTGAATATGCACAAATGCACAAACGCACAAAATTAACATTATTAAATATACTTTTGTTATATAAATCATTTAATTAATGCAAAATAATGTTAATTGAAATACACATTATCATTATTTATAAAATCGAAATGCTAAAAAATACTGGATTGTTAGGTTGCACAATAATAATAGACAAAACGCACATTATTGTAAATGCATATTATTGGTTTCAATATTTTATACATTACATATTTTCAAGAAAAATATAAAAAAATTAAATATAAATATTAAAATACTATATATTTTTCTAATATAAATAATAAAGCATCTACATTATTTACGGTAATTCAGTTAATGGATTGAATAAACTGATTATCTCAGTTCGGTTTAGTTTAGTTTGGAACAAATCATTGAAAATGTATATGCCACAAGTGCACAATAATGTTAGATATTACACATTAATGACTATTAAATTGCACAATAGATACCGAAACCGGTTGAACTAAAGTTTTCAGTTCTTTTTTTATTTCGTTTCATTATTATTTTTTTATTTTAAGATCATGGTTATTTTAGTTCGATATCGAATATAATTTTAAAATAAGCTAAATAACCCAACCGATCGAACTACATAAAAATTATTATTATTATTATTATTACTATTATTATTATTATTATTATTATTATTATTATTATTATTATTATTATTATATTATTATTATTATTATTATTATTATTATTATTATTATTATTATTATTATTATTATTATTATTATTATTATTATTATGCATTGCGAGTGCACAATATGGTTATATAAATTGAACATTAATGAATATTAGATTGCACAATATATCTTTCGGTTCAATTATTTTATATTTCAATTTTAATTTTATATTTTGGTTCAATTTTTCCTTTTTTTTTTTACTTCAAAAATCTCGATCATTTCGGTACGTCATTTTTTTCATTTAAATAACCAAACAATTGAAGTATATAAAAATATTATTTTTTTTCAGTCAATAAAATATAAAATATTAAAATACTAATCATGTTTTGGTTAATTAATTAAAAACTTGATTAATATAAAATATAAAGTACTAATGGCGTGTCCTCAAAAAATGTTGTGCATCTTATGTATCGCTTATTGTGCATTTATTAAAATACTAATTATGTTTTGATTAATAATTAAAATTTTATATATTATAAAATATAAAATACTAATGTGATTTTTCATTAAAATACATATTTGCCGCATGTACTAAAGTGCAATTATATGCAAAATTCATAAATTGCATATGAGTCCTCTTAAATTCTAAATTCTAGACCATGACCCAACCCTACCAATTTACATATCATTCAGCAGGGCTGCTCGCCGCCTCCGAACACTGTGAAGCTGATCATCGTCACCACGTCCGACCCGCGTCCAAATCCATATCCTTCTGCGACAGTGTGAATCCTCATCGTCCGTCGCGTCTTCGCTGTAATATCCCGATATTTTATCGGTATAAATTGCGTTTTAGTTCCGATATAATAACGTTATCGTTTATTATTTTCGGAATTAATTATGTTCAGTCAGGATTACCGAAATTTAATTTCGACGTACCGTTTACGTTCGGAATAATTTTGGTAATTAAATATTATGTTTAATTAGATTATTAAGCATAAGTTAAGGGATTAATTATTATTAATCTTATAGTTAGCCTAATAGCCGTGAGATATAAACTCAATTTGCCCCAATTTTATGTTAAGGCCGAGAGGAATTAAGACTTGGTAAGTTCATGCTTCTTCATTTTTCTTAAGTCCTAAGGAAGTGATTTACTACCATCCATTAGGCATGAAATGTGGCATCGGTTAGAATAAAAGAGGGCTGCTTAGTCACCCCAATTTAAGCTAAGAAAGTAACAAGTGCTAAGCTTTAAAATGGCCACGTTAGGCCTATGTAACCCCCTTGCACGACATTTAGTATATAAGTGAGATTGAACCGAAATTTTCCCCCATTTTTCTAAGGCCCTTCAGTATATTATCCCCCTTCAACAATCAGCTCTATATCATCTATTTTAGCAGCAACCAAGTCACGCAATATCCCTAAATTTTCCCATCAAATTACGACATATATAGAAGGCATCGCACGGACAAGAAGCACGACCTAATTTCCATTTCGATCGAGCGATTGTCAAGGTATTTTCTTCCTTATGTTAGAATCATGTTAGTAAGGTTGATTTAAGGTTAAGGGTTCGAGTAATCTTCAGAATTTCATAAAGAGATCACGTTATGTTCGGTTCATAATGTATGTACGATGATACCTCCTTACGTTCATTTTAGTCCGACATGTTCCGAGCAATTATCGTTCGTTTAGCTTTTATTCAGTTCATCATGTTCAGTCAAACACGTTTTGTCGAGTGAAGTTGGAGTTTTGTCGATAAATTGGCCCCCCGCCGTCGCCAGCGCCTATCGCGCATGGCCACGGGCGGCCGCGGTCCATGTCTTAGCAAGTCCAGTAATCATCATGTTCTGTCCGAGTGTTTATGCTTTAAATTGCTTCGCAATAAGGATCATGTTAAGTTGTTCTGAAGTTGCCGGATAATAAGGTCTTTCGGCCGGGAGACGGCGTATAGCCGTCGACGGCGCACGGCGCGCCCGCCACGGCCTTTCATGTCCAGCGTGCAACGATTGTATTTTCAGGTCGTTATATTCATGTTAAGTCAGGTTGTGTTCAGTGATGTTAAATTGGTCGAGGACTTGGTCGAAGGCCGTAG